AAATGAAATTAATAGGTAAATTTTTACTTTTTTCCGAAGAAAAGGTGGAGAGAACGGATAAAAAATACTGTTACCGTAAATGAGGGAAAGAATTCAAAAAAACCACAGTGTGAATTGTGAAAAATGCCATTTTCTTTGACATTCCGGAAATTGACCCACGAAGGCTGGGAAAGAATATGGAAAATGGAAAATGGAAAATGAGTTTCTCTAACATCAAAGAGGACGTTTTTAAACTAACCATCTATTTATTTGAAGAGAAGAAACTCGAATATTTTTAAATAAAAGCATAAGTTTGAATTTTATAAGTAGAAAAGTAAATATTAAAAGAGTTTTTTTCTTATAAAATCTAATATAACTTAATTTCAAATTAATCAAAACTTAATATAACTTTTTGGATATCAGAAGATTTAGTATAAAGAGAGGAAGTTTTTAAGTTAAATCAAACTCTATACCTCTTTTATATAAGTACATGAGAAAATCTATATCTCTTGTGAAAAACAATTAAGGAATAAATTTTATTCTATAATTTTTTTATATAATTTTATATGTTATTTAATAATTTAAGTAAAAAAATGTATGATGTTATATACATATATCAATTTAATAATAATATTATATACGTGAATTCATATAATATTACAAATTTTAATAACATAAAATGAATAAATTATTAAATAATATGTAAGATTATGAAAAAAAATTAATACTTCATATATAAAAATTATCCTTAAATTGTTTTCCCTCTTATATAAATCAAGCATCCAACCAACAAACCAAATGACCTTGAGTTGGACTAAGGTCTAATTTTAAAACCTTTTAATACTAAACAACTAATCTTAAAGCACCAACAAAAATCAAGGGACAAGAGTTTTTTTTTTTTTTTTCTTTTAAACATTGATCGATCCAATAGTAAACATTATGACTATTTTTATTTTTTATTTTGAGTTAAAAATGGGAAATAAGCTTTTATATTCACATTTAAATTTTTTTATTTTAAAATAATTTTAACTAGAAAATTATAAAAATTAATTTCTAATAAAAGATATAACTGTTGAATAGTGATTTACGTACATTTCTATAAATTTAAGAAATTCTTATACTAATTTTTTATCATACACTTTAAAACTTAAGAGATTTTTTAAAAACACATATATTACATTAATTATTAAAATTTTAAGATAAATGACTGAAAATACATGTAACAATTATACACCTATAAACTGAACCTAACTAACTCTTTCAAATCTAATGATAGTAAATTGAAGCAGGTAACATCTAAAAACTATGTTGAAAAAACAGTTATAACATTTTTTTTTTTAATGGAAAAGCCGGAAAATGAATATAACATTGTTTCCATAAAAACAGTACTGCTAATCAATCTCGTGAAAACTTAGAGCCCATACCTCGAAATTTGAAGAAATTGGCTGGCGGAAGACATCATTTTGCAATTGTGCAAATTATATCAATTGGAACCGGGAAGAATAAAATCTGAGCTTGCTCAGAAGAACGGGGGAATACTCTTCTGACTCTGCCTGCGTTATTTAAGCAAAAAGAGTGCACTTGACAACAGGAAGTTGAGAGGAATAGCTGAGTATTAGACCGAAAGAAGCTAATTTTGGCCTATTTATAGAGGGTGGGTTCGAGGGGATCTTGAGGCAAGTGTCGCTCCACTTTCTTCTCCAAAGGTGTGATAGGGCAGGTGTAAATGTATCTTCCTAAAGTTAACCCTAGCAAATCCCTGCTGCTAGTGACTGTGACACTTTGAAGGGAAATGTAGGTTAAAGCTTGAATTTACATTTTTTTTAAAGTCCAAGCTGAGCTTGGACACTTTGAAGGGGAATGTAGGTTATAGCTTGAATTTACACCTTTTTTTAAAGTCCAAGGTTACTTGGACTTACACTTATGTAAATCCAAGTAAGCTTGGACTTTAAAAAAATGTGTAAATTCAAGCTATAACTTACATTTCCCTTCAAAGTGTCACAATCACTAGCAGCAGGGATTTGCTAGGAAGATGCATTTACATCTGCCCTATCACATCTTTGGAAAAGATGTGGGACCTTATAGAAGGGAATGGGATTAGGCCTCTAGCTTTTCAAAACTCAAAATGTCAAGATTCAAATTATTAGGCAAAAGTAGCTAATAAGGTTAACAAATAAAATTTATAAAAATACT